TTCAATTACTGGAGTTGAGGGTTGATTATCAGAATCACAGAACTTAGGTTTTTTGAAAAAATTTCTGATGTCCATAATAGTATAATATTAGACAATCGACTATATAAATATAATTATGATTTATAAAAATAAAACTTACTATAAAAATACTTATAAATGTATAGTATAGAACGTACTGTATTTAGGCAGCTTTGTTTGCGTGTTTCATTGAAGAAAGCGTGCTGGCAAATAAAACCAGAATAGTCGATCGTCACTCGTCGTTCCATTATGGAATTTCCGTACAAATTGATAAAAACCTCTCAAATATACTAGACAATAGCCGATAGCTATTACGAATAGACAATAATGTAACGGCATATGACGATAAAACCCATTAAGTCAATAAAAATAAATACATTTAGAAATCCGGCTAGATTTTTTTGTTTTATAAATAAAATTTTCAGATTATACAAATTTAAATCAAATTGGTTATAATTTTTAAAAATATATTTCCAAAGTCCAGGGGGGGGCAAACGCCCCCCATGCTCCCCCCTGAGGGCGCCCATGCTCGGAACTCTTGATCAGTTTATAAATTTTGCTTGGACAAACTACAATAAAGCTTTTATTAATTCTTACCAAAATAATTCTCATTTGTTATCAAAAATATAAAATGTTAGAATTATACAAATAAAATACTGCTTGACGGCTAAGAACCGTTTAAACAAGCTTTTAAATTACAGGTTCCGGTTAGGTTCTGGGTCGTGACTATCTGAATATAAAAATTTCTATTCCGGTTCGGGTTCTACAAAAATTTAAAGGTTCCGTTAAAAGAACCGTTTTTTAGGTTCGTTCCAGTCCTTGACTGGGGTTTCAAAATAAATTCCGAAAAAAGTAGCAATCGTTTTCAAAAATATCGTTGAATCAAAGATAGTCTAATAATCAACAATTATCAAATTCCATGATTAACTTAAACTACATATTTAGATATAACATTGGACAAAAAAATATCACTTGAAAAACACATTAATACATAATTATACGAAGAAAAAAAAACAAGTGCGAGGCATGTTGTACCTACTAGATAAACAAAAGAAGTCAACTACTACTAAAAATTAAATTAAATTGATATCAAGCCAATACTAACATACAGCGGTCTGGCATGGGATATTCGAACATTTTATTAACCAGCTGTAAAAGATTAGAAAAAGTCAAAAACAAAACGATCGAAATAAAAATGACTGGACGCTTTAGATAATTAGATAATTACTATTAATAATTAGATAATTTTCTATTTTATTAGTTAGTGACATATACATAATGTTGCCATTCAATAAAATAAAGTTGACACCCTTATAAGATATATTTTGTAACATATAAATGAAGAAATAAATGAAACTAACAAAATCCTGAAGTACTGGTTCAAAATTTGTTTTTGACCAGTTATTTTCATAGTAAGATCATTATCTAATAAATAAGCTAATTTTTACATTAAAACATATTAAATATAGAGTTTTACATGATAACCAATTTATATATTTTGTGCTAAAAATTAAGAAAATTATAACTTAAAAAAACATTACAATATCAATGAGTTTATAATTAATGTTTATCAAAAAACCAAACAATTTTTAAGATTAAAATTATTCAATTTTTATTTAGAATAAAATAATCTAGAGTTTTAAAGTCTTCAAAAAATATATATTTTTAATACAACTTATAATACACTTTCAAAATTAAATTACCATAATTTTATTATAGATTGTACACCCAAAGAAAAAGCTCAATCAATTTTGATAGAGAAATTTTATCAAGGGTTTATGATAATGTTTTATTAATACGAACAAAATAACTATTCTTATAAATAATTATTGATTAAGACAAGAAAAAAATATATCATGTTGATAAATATATTATAGGTTCAATAGTAATGATATATTTATCAAATTGAACAATGAATTTATTATATAGTTCGATGTTTTTCTCTGGGTGTAGTTACTACTTCAATCACGAGGTTGAAATTATTTTATTATTATAAAATACTTATACTACAACAATTTTCAGAAATTTATTTATTTCATTTTTAGCTTCGATGCAAAACTGAGAATGTATTGGTTTTACTATGATAAGATTATTTTTCTCAGCTCTCACCGAACCGATTTCTTTCAAAGATACGTCAAAAGTTCACAAATTGTATGTAGTCGAAGACATTACCTTCAATAATTGGAAAAATTCCCCTCGTTCCCCATAAATGAGGGAAACCTCCAAAAAAATTACAAATTTAAAAATCGCTAATTTTTTCAATTTTTTTTATTTAAACTTTAAATAACTTTCTCAAAAATTAATAAATCAATATAATTTTTGTTTAAATAGATGCTTGATGTCTTCACCTATCATTTGGTATATTTTTTTTATAAATCTGACTATTTACTTGCCACTGGGGAATTTAAAATGATCCCTTCTTCACAAAAAATTTACTTTTTCAACTTATCTTTTAAAAGTGTTCTGGAAAGTCTGACACTTTATTATATATCTTAAATTAAAGCTAATGTAAAGTATTTTATTATGGGGAAAAAAAATTTCGAACTTTATTTTATCTTCATTGTAAAAATAGCTACCAAATACTATTTTTGTGTGAAATTTCTCGAAATTATTTTTAACATTTTTAACTTTAAAATGCTATAACTTTTTAAAAAATATATGGATCAATACGATTTTTTCACAAGAAGTAGTATTTATATACATCTTTCATTCGACATACTTAATCTTAATCAGGATATTAATAAGGAACTAGCAGATCATGTAGCTTATGGAATAATCTACCAACTCATACTCTACATCTACTAAACTCATAGTTAATCAATACCATTATTCATATTTGAAATAATTTTAACCAATTTCTGTGAAACGAGTCACAATAAGTCGTTTGAGTAATCATTTTAATTACTGCTGATACAGGTAAAATGAATTATTATAGTAACATACACATTATGTACACATTAAAGTATTATTAATTTACAATAAAATAAATACTACACTGGTTATGGGGTATCTCTTTGTCTTATACCTTATAATAAAAACACAGTTTTGGATGATCCTAAAGTTGAAAAATTTGAATTTATCAACCAAAAAGTATGTAAAAAACTGTGGTCGTGGACACAACAAAATAAAATTATTGTATCTGTTCTGAAAAATGTTACTATTAATAAATGATTAAAAAAAATAATTCGTCGAAAAACAATTTAGAAATTATTCAGAGTTATACCTATTACTTAAATACTATGGAAATTGTTGAAATAACTAGTTGATAGATTTTGTTTGTTTTTAGTTGAAGTCATTGATAGAATCGATAGTTTCTCCAAAATTGTAGAACTTTTTAATTCTTTACAAATAATAGAAGTAAATATAAGCATTTATAACTTTAAAAATCTTTATAATACGTATGTATGATACATTTAAGCAATACTGTATTTCTACATTACCCCTTGACTGTATTCCGAATGTGTCTGGAGAAGATTGTTCTCAATAATGATAAAAATGATATGGGTGGGATACGAATTCTAATGAAAAATTAGAATGCATAAATAGATTATTAGAATGCAGGAAACTAACAAATTTAAAAAGAAAATATGCTATTTTTAGAATTAATAACTACTGGAAGTGGGATGTCACTTTAAAGGAAAACTTAGCTACGATAACTTAATAACATTACACAATAACAGTGTTTTATAGGAAGCACACATTTTAAAGTGGAAGAAGCTTTTCTCTTCTTGAATAAATAATTATAATTGATAAGTTATTTTTTATGAAAATTACATTAAATATTATATCGAACTTTTATATTATATTATTATATAAATTAAGCATTTTAACTAATTAATAAAAATAGCAAAACTCACTCCCCCTTCTAGTCATTACTTTAAATTGATAATAACTTTAACATACTTGTTCAAAAATTGTTATCGACAGGTCATTTTCTTAATTAAATAATTTTCTATTTTATACGTTAGTTTAATACATATGTTTCCATTTAAAAAAATAAAGTTGATACCCCTATAAGACATAAGGGATGAACATAGAAATTATTTTATAACAAATATATAAAAAAATTAATGAAACTAAGAAAAGCCAAAAAAAAAATTCACATAAAAATTATTTGAAGAGAAATTTGTGGCTAGTGTTAAAAGAATTATATTGTCTACTTAATCAATGGAATATAACTAAGGAATTAAAAAAAAAATCTGTTTTTATTCATATATTTATTCAAAATCATCAATTTTTGGATGATTCTCTCCACTTATAGTATGTGTGGGATATTTGATAAAATTTAAAGAATTATTTATAATTTAAGAATGTCACAAATACATAAAAATACATAGTAATTTTAATACCCTTTCAGTTTCGTAGCTAAAAAAAAAATGTAAGAATCTTTTATTTTAGTTAATGATACCATTTTATTGTAATTCGCATATAAGCGTCTAAGGACATTCGATGTTGAAGCCCTAACAAAATTTAAAATAATAATAATATGTGGTTAAGCAATTTCTTTTATCATTTCAGATATGATGCATTCTAATCTTAAATTGTCCTTAATGGGAACTACTACTTTTAGTTTGATAAAATGATAGAAAACAATTTTTTATTTAAAAACAACCGATTACTCTTTTCAAATTTAAAATTGTTATAACATTTGGATTTAAATTATAAATTCATTATTAATTTGGTTTTCATAATACCGTAGGCAACTTGTTGCCATCGGTATTAATAATTTGTTTAAATATCGGTATTTGTTAACTACATATTATTAAACTTTTTGAAGCATTAATTTTTTTCCTTTATTAAAATTCTAAATTTTCAATAGTTTCCAAGGTAATTAAGGTCTTATCCATAATCAATTATTCTATATAACTAGGAACTTAGCAAATCTGAACAATTTTTGTAAGTATCGCTTTAAAAAAAATACAATAACTAAAATGGATAGATATTAAACTTAATATGCTTAAATAATGTAGAATAGAATTTACCTTCATTAAATATCAAACAGGATATTATTAATAAGATAGTTATTATTTGCCAATTCTATAATAAAAAAAAAATTATCTTAGATATTAATAAATGACTTCAAGTAAAGTGTATTACTCACCTCCATTATTACTGGAAGCGTTAAATTCTGATTAACTAATGGTAATTCTTAATTAAATTGGTATATATATATATATATATATATATACATATACAAACACAGATATAATATTTTTTTTTTATTTTTAAATTTGAAAAGAGCTTTTAAATAAATATTAAAGAAGCATAATTTAAAAAAAATTATTATTTTTAGTCAAACTGACACAGTATCGTGTTTGCCTCAGTCGCACATTACGTTATCAACCTATAGGAAAGTGTATAGGGATCAGAGACAAAAGTGCACACTGGTCAAGTGGTACGGTTTGTCTCTAAGGATGCCTTGGTTCGAGAGTTCTATTCCCGTACCATGCTTCTTATTTTCACACGATTTCCCCTACACTTTCTATGATGGACCTTGTTACTACTCATACACAAGTTAAAAATAATAGCCAAATCGGCATTGGCAAGGACACCTTTTTGATTCAATAAAATAAAAAAAATATTAACACTGATCGCATTTTCATAGTTTGGACTAAATAGAACTTTTACATTTTTTTTAAATATAGAAATTATACACGTATTTTAAAACTATAAATATCATAGTTAGATTAGATTCAAACGAATTTCGATTTAAATATTAAAAAAATATTTGTAAAATCTTTGTATATTTTTAATTTATATTTATATTAATGTTAAAAAAATCTATTCAGTAATTGTACTTTCTGATATTATCATTTTGAATTAATTCATCATACATAACAAATATCATACATACATAGGTGTTTGCCAATTGTTTTTTGAATTGTTTACTTTTTTGCCATTATTTATAAATAATATATTAGTGCATATTTATATAAAATTCTAAAAATCTTTCCTAAAAAACTTGTATTTTTTTTATAAATTAAAAATAAATGAAAAAAAATTAAATAATATTAAATATATTAATTAAAATAAAAATTCACCAATATTTGCTTTTACTATTGTTACGAGTGTAACAAAAAGTAATGTTATACCACGAGCACTATATAAAATATTAATTTAACTTATTAGATAAAGTACGGCTACAATAAATGTATTGACTACGGTATTCAAATGACTGGCGATGTTCTGATTTACAATAGCCGTGTAATATACAAAAAAAAAACCCAGCACAGGGTCGCGGCACAGTAGTGACAAAGCATAATTGGATCAAGTATAATGATATCTGACAGGGATTTAAGTCACTATCATAAAAAACGCTTCGATGCAAATCTTTAGTGTTTAATTTTAAAAAATTGGTGAATTATTCCAAAAGCTACATGATCTGCAATTTCCTTATTTATATCCTGATTTAGATAAAGTATGTCGAATGAAGAAGGGATATAAATACTACTTCTTGTGAAAAAATTGTGTTGATCCATACACTTTTCAATAAGTTATAGCATTATAAAGTTAAAAATGTAAAATACAAAATCGAAAATTTTAACACAAAAATAGCATTCGGTAACCATTTTCACCGTGAAGACAAAATAAAGTCCGAAATTTTTTTTTTTTCATGATAAAGTATATTACATTAGCTTTAATTTAAGATATATATAAAAGTGTCAGACCTTCCGGAACATTTTCAAAAATCAAGTTGAAAAAATTAATTTTTTGTGAAAAAGTTGTCATTTTAAATCCCCCCCTGTAGGCAAGTAAAGGGTCTCATATAAAAAAAAAATGTACCAAATGAAAGGTAATGACATCATGCATCTATATAAAAAAGAATTATATTGATATGTTTATTTTTAAAAAAGTTACGGCAGTTTTTAGTAAAAAAAATTGAAAAAATTTCGAAAATTATCCATTTTTAAATTTGTAATTTTTTTGGAGGTTTCCCCCATTTACGGGAAACGAGGGGATTTTTTTCAATTTTTGAGGGTAATGTCTTCGACTAGATACGATTTGTGATCGTTTGACGTATCATTGAAAGAAATCGGTTCGGTGAGAGCTGAGAGCTGAGAAAAAGTGGTAAAAGACACAAAAAAAAAAAAAAAA